CTGAGCTCTGTCTCTTCTTCATAGAAAAACCTGTGATGATAAAATTTTTATCACCATTAAATAATCCCAGTTACAGTACTTGTTTCCTTCATCATTACTCATTGGGATTACTGAGCTCTGTCTCTTGTTCATAGAAGAACCTGTGATGATAAAATTTTATCACCATTAAATAATCCCAGTTACAGTACTTGTTTCCTTCATCATTACTCATTGGGATTACTGAGCTCTGTCTCTTGTTCATAGAAGAACCTGTGATGATAAAATTTTATCACCATTAAATAATCCCAGTTACAGTACTTGTTTCCTTCATCATTACTAAGTGATGGTGCGAGCTGCTACTGTGTGCAGTATTCATGGTCACCCTCTCAGTACTGACGCCCATATACCAAGCAGTATTCATGGTCACCCTCTCAGTACTGACGCCCATATACCAAGCAGTATTCATGGTCACCCTCTCAGTACTGACGCCCATATACCAAGCAGTATTCATGGTCACCCTCTCAGTACTGACGCCCATATACCAAGCAGTATTCATGGTCACCCTCTCAGTACTGACGCCCATATACCAAGCAGTATTCATGGTCACCCTCTCAGTACGGACGCCCATATACCAAGCAGTATTCATGGTCACCCTCTCAGTACTGACGCCCATATACCAAGCAGTATTCATGGTCACCCTCTCGGTACGGACGCCCATATACCAAGCAGTATTCATGGTCACCCTCTCAGTACTGACGCCCATATACCAAGGAGGAGTGTCCACTTTTCTTTTTTAAGATGGCACCTGTTTCCTGGAAGCCTAAGGAAGCAGATGTGAACCCCGTGTACTTGCAGGAGTTTTAAATCGTACATGGTACGTTAACACTTTAGCTTCACGTTAACGTTATCCCAATCCTTAACCCTTAAGCTGTGCATGGCGTATATATTCGACAGGACCCCATGGTGCCGGAAGTTAAATTTCTCAAACTTGCTGTAACACTTTCCAATTTTTTGTGCATAATCTACTAGGCAAACGCTCTAAAATTTGTCTAAATGATCACCAACGTAACTTGAAAAACAAGAAAATTAAAAATAATTAAAAAATTTAATATGGTAAATTTAAGATTTTCAGATCAGCTGCAAAAATATTAAATATCACCAATTGTTCATCAAGTGTTATTATGCTCTCAGAATAGTATGATCTTCATTTTAATAGATTTAGAATATAGATTTTCAGTTTAGTATACCATAAAAAAATCGTCAACATGGCATCTGAAATATGCACCAAATTCAGACAACAAATTTTTTAACTCCAAACATTTAGGGTTTATGAAAAATCCATTCTTATAGGATTGTAGAACAGACAGCTGCGCACACTATATGTAAAAATGGTGAGAATTGGTCAGAAACTTGATTTTTTAAAGCTGACTCAAATTTGAAACTCTAGTTTTAGAGATAATTGAAGTTGAAGTTATCGACAATGTATACGGTAGTTCTAATTCATTAATTTACTTGTATGTTTTAATAAAAATTGTCTGGCATTCGTACTTGAATATGTGAAAGTTGTAGGTCAATATGTGTTGGAATGAAGTCAAGGAAAAATAACCCCCCTCCAAAAAAAACAAAATATAGGGATAATTATAATTATTTAGGGGATAAAGATATATACTTTATATAAGTGAAAAAGCCCTAATCTGGTCCCTGATCATCAAAACAACCTAAAGAGACAAAGAAAATACAGTTTGCAATTTGTGAAAAAAATCAGTCCCAAAAAATTCAAAGTCCCAAGTCCCAAGTTCAGTCAGTTATGATTTATTTATTTGTTTGTTGACCAATTTAATTCTTTCTTCACATAGTTAGGGATAGGTATACACTCTCCAGGATGTAGAAGTTACAACAAAATCACATAATAAACAAAGAAAAAAATAAAAAATAAAATAAATCCCCCCTCCCCCCCAAAAAAATGGGGGGGGGGACATCGGTGAAAGTAATAGATATTATAATTGGACAATGTATTTGTATGATATATTACAAAATAAATCATATGTAGATAAGGAGTCACAATAACGTGGCTAGAAAATGTTGCTCAAACCAGACACTAGAAAGTGAAGAGACGACGACAATTCGGTCCATCCTGGACCATTCTCAAGTCCAATGTGATAATGGTCCAGGATGGACCAAAACGTCGTCTTCTCTTCACTTTCTAGTGTGTGGTTTGGTCAACAAAACACAGCATAATAACATACATATTCATTATTATTGGAGTTATTATGTATTACTCAGCAATGCTATTAAGGCACCAGCTGCATATCCACTTTGTGGACACGTCTAACTATTATTCTTCTTTGTGCATCAGACAGGTGCTTGCATCTCTCTATTACTGCATTATCCCTCAGTTCCAGTTAATATGAGCTGTTCTCCTTATCAACAAAATGTTCTTTTTTTTTTTTTTTTTTTAATTCTCTAAAATCTATTTCTGCAAATATTGGGATGAAACTTTCACGACGCTGAAGCCAAAAGTTGGAGATTTGTTTAACATTTAATATTAATTTTCACATAATTCAAATATTTTTTCACCCAGCCCCAGCTTATACCACCATTTACAGCCCAGGCTGTAGCAGTGTAAGGGTTGAATAAATACATGGCAGAGGACGTAAACGCTTTCCACAATTAAAATATTTGTAAAAATTCCATTTACTGTATAGTCAAACTATTATTAGACTTGTTTTAAAATGGGTGCTATTCTATTGCCAACAATTTAAAACTAAAATGAATGATATAGCACAAAAAAACTGGAACATGTATAAATACTGAAGTGTGACTGGGTGCTCACAGACAACGCCCGGCTGACTTTGACCTTTGCTGGGTGGAGTGCGCGCATGCCAAGGCGACCTTGAGGTGGCACACCGGGCCAGAACCGGGACAGCCAAATTGTTACAACTTCTTCAACCATATCACGTAGTTAATGGATAATTTCTGAGATCATCCCTAACCTTGTTTTGCAGTAGACGGGTTAAAGGGAGGGTCATGACCCCCCAAATGGTGTATTTGGACCATACCCATCGATTTCTCCCACACTCAAAACTCTTTAATTACAAATCTTGTGTGAAATAAATATCTTGGGACTCCATTCTGATAATTAATGATAAGAGTGTCTCATAACCATACAATATTTATAATAAAACTTCCTGCACCTACACTAAACAAAACTTGGCACATACAACATGAAAACAAACCATACGATTTCTTTCAAAATCTGGCCATTGACTTTCCCACACCAAACAATTTTAACAATAAAGAGTTTCGAGAATAAAGAGTTTATGTGTCAACATTAAAATTGGTCCCATGATCTTTTTCAAACCAGTCCAATCCATTTTTCCTCTACTCCTTAAACTCATTTTTATGATCAAGTTCACCAATGAAATATCTTGGGGAAGCTGTTCCAAATAATAATAAGAGATATGGTTTCATACCAATGTTTAGAATAGTATAGCTGTCACTTCCACTCACCTACACTTACCTGTAATGGCATTTCAATATAAATGCACAAAAATGTATGTAGCAAATCAACTGTATTTGTATTATTTTATATACGTAAGAAACCTCATACCAAAATGAAGTGTAAAGGGGATAAACCAGTTAATGGGTGTGGAGTATCAGAAATGACTATTTCAGAATAATCTAAGACTCTGGGAAATGGGGACCTGAAAAACAGTTTCCCTTTATCTCCAAATTTTGGGAAATTCTCTTACAGAAAATGATCTATGTCAAACTCAAAATGAAAATCATAGTCCTTTATAATAACTTTTATGACCTGTAGGTCATAAAAATGGCAAAATACCTGCATTAGAAAATTCAGAAGCGAAGAGATGCAGAGAAGGTCGTACCAGCAAAGAATGTTGCTGGACTGATTCTCTGAAAGAGGTGGAGCAGCGGAAAAATTGCGCAAGTTCAGATACCGGGCTAGAAGAGCCAGAAACCAAGGCCTTACTGGTTACCAGGGAGCAAGGAGGATCACTCTCCCTGAGCAAAAAGCCAGTCTGGTAAGAACCCGGAGAAACAACTGAGCTGCACCCCCACCTCGACCAGTCCAGTCGAAAAGTATCTACCGTGAGAACCTCATAATCAGGGAATGCCACCATGTTGTATAGAAGGTGCTGGTTCCACACCAGCATGAAGAAATTCACCTCAAGGTAACTTAACATCTTGCAGAGCTATTGGAAGGACACATCACTGATGGTCCATTCTATGAATATATAGTAAATAACCTAGTTTTGGCAACAGAATCTAAAATCTGAGGCAGAATAAAATTATAACATCCTAGTTATGTTATGAACCTTGTTAAATACCATATAAAATATAAAATTTCATAGTGATGTAATGGCATGGCTTATGTGATATGATGGGTTGGGTTGAGTTTACATAAAGAGTAGTGATGACAGAAGTGAAAATCTGCTCAGGTCTTATACCATATTCAATTCTGAAGCCCCAAAACATCACATGTAGTGGACACAGAGTCAAATGTAAACAAAGTGTCAAAAGTCAGCACAGTACTATACTAGTTTTTTCATTTTTACAAATCCTAATAATTTTTACTCCATTCCACTCTTTGTCCTCACTTTTTCACACACAAATCAAACCCATTAAACTTTGTCCTCCCTGAAAACATTTACCACTTCAAGCTTCTGTAGTCCCTCATTTATATGTCTCCAATATCACACTGACATAGAGGCCTGCCTTTGCTGTATGAAGGGCCACCACATCCAAGATTAATAATGCCCTTAGTGGCAAGGAACTGTAATGGGTCCATCAAATTCACCCTCACCTCAATCACAAGAAATGTTGGACTGCTTGTACCATATAGTGATGCAAGGTTGGATCTTAATATTAATACTAAATATAATATCCACTAAAATTCAATGCAATGACTATGTCTCAAGTGTAGCTTTACCGTGGCACATGCAACCATATCATGTAATATTCAAAGCAAACTCAAAAACGGAACAAAACAACAAACTAACTGGTATCGTTCATCTTGCGTGGCATGCCTCTGGAGCGTACTGGGACTGTGGGTAGTTGACTTTTCTTGACATTTGCCTGGGCATCAGCTGAACGGTTAAGCAGCTCTGCCCGCAAAGCTGCAGCCTTTGGTTTTCTCTTAAGAGCAAAGTGTTTGGTGAGAGGTGCCTGAAAGGTGAAATTTTACATAACACATTTAGCTCACTTAAACTTGTTAGGGATCAATAGTCAGTAGCTAGCTCTTGCTTCTGTTTATTAATAGCCAAATACAAAAATTTATGTTTAAAACTATCAAGTTATATAGTTATATAGGGGTTATATAGTTTAAAACTATATAATTAAAATACAAGAATCACAGCTTGACTAAATATCTCTCTCAGGAATAGAGACAAACTCATTCCATTTCCAAACTGATACAGTTGACAATATACATGAGACAACTACCACTATCCATTTTGGCTAAACCGTTAAAATGGTTAAACCCGTTAAAATGATCATTAAAATGGAACATTTTAACGGTCAGTAATATTACTGAACAAGTATGGACAGTCCCTCAATTCACGTGCATTTGGTCCACTAACCTAAATGTGTCCAGACACATCATCAATATAACATTTACATTTCATACTCCATTGACTTTCATTATCTATAATGAATCATCCTGGATAAGTATGCACAGGATATTGCCACACAAAGATAAAGCAATCCATTATTCATTAATTATTTAGCATTACAACTCGACCCAAGAAAACAGCAGCAAGAAAAAGAATACTGTATATGTGTAGAGTACAGTGAAAGAAGGTTAGATTAAGGAAACAAATTTAATCATTGCATTCAGTGTGAAGAATATATAGGATGAGTTTCCTGCCCAAAGGAACCACACAGTGATGAGTGGTGGGGTTGGCACAGTGATGAGTGGTGGGGTTGTCACACAGTGATGAGTGGTGGGGTTGTCACAGTGATGAGTGGTGGGGTTGTCACACAGTGATGAGTGGTGGGGTTGTCACAGTGATGAGTGGTGGGGTTGTCACAGTGATGAGTGGTGGGGTTGTCACAGTGATGAGTGGTGGGGTTGTCACACAGTGATGAGTGGTGGGGTTGTCACAGTGATGAGTGGTGGGGTTGTCACAGTGTTGAGTGGTGGGGTTGTCACACAGTGATGAGTGGTGGGGTTGTCACACAGTGATGAGTGGTGGGGTTGTCACACAGTGATGAGTGGTGGGGTTGTCACACAGTGATGAGCGGTGGGGTTGTCACACAGTGATGAGCGGTGGGGTTGGCACACAGTGATGAGTGGTGGGGTTGTCACAGTGTTGAGTGGTGGGGTTGTCACAGTGGTGAGTGGTGGGGTTGTCACAGTGGTGAGTGGTGGGGTTGTCACAGTGTTGAGTGGTGGGGTTGTCACAGTGTTGAGTGGTGGGGTTGTCACAGTGATGAGTGGTGGGGTTGTCACAGTGATGAGTGGTGGGGTTGTCACACAGTGATGAGTGGTGGGGTTGTCACACAGTGATGAGTGGTGGGGTTGTCACACAGTGATGAGTGGTGGGGTTGTCACAGTGATGAGTGGTGGGGTTGTCACAGTGATGAGTGGTGGGGTTGTCACAGTGATGAGTGGTGGGGTTGTCACAGTGATGAGTGGTGGGGTTGTCACAGTGATGAGTGGTGGGGTTGTCACAGTGATGAGTGGTGGGGTTGTCACAGTGATGAGTGGTGGGGTTGTCACAGTGATGAGTGGTGGGGTTGTCACAGTGATGAGTGGTGGGGTTGTCACAGTGTTGAGTGGTGGGGTTGTCACAGTGATGAGTGGTGGGGTTGTCACAGTGTTGAGTGATGGGGTTGTCACACAGTGATGAGTGGTGGGGTTGTCACAGTGTTGAGTGGTGGGGTTGTCACACAGTGATGAGTGGTGGGGTTGTCACACAGTGATGAGTGGTGGAGTTGTCACACAGTGATGAGTGGTGGAGTTGTCACACAGTGATGAGTGGTGGGGTTGTCACAGTGATGAGTGGTGGGGTTGTCACACAGTGTTGAGTGGTGGTGTTGTCACAGTGATGAGTGGTGGGGTTGTCACAGTGATGAGTGGTGGGGTTGTCACAGTGTTGAGTGGTGGGGTTGTCACAGTGATGAGTGGTGGGGTTGTCACAGTGATGAGTGGTGGGGTTGTCACAGTGTTGAGTGGTGGGGTTGTCACAGTGTTGAGTGGTGGGGTTGTCACAGTGTTGAGTGGTGGGGTTGTCACAGTGTTGAGTGGTGGGGTTGTCACAGTGTTGAGTGGTGGGGTTGTCACAGTGTTGAGTGGTGGGGTTGTCACAGTGTTGAGTGGTGGGGTTGTCACAGTGTTGAGTGGTGGGGTTGTCACAGTGTTGAGTGGTGGGGTTGTCACAGTGTTGAGTGGTGGGGTTGTCACAGTGATGAGTGGTGGGGTTGTCACAGTGATGAGTGGTGGGGTTGTCACAGTGTTGAGTGGTGGGGTTGTCACAGTGTTGAGTGGTGGGGTTGTCACACAGTGATGAGTGGTGGGGTTGACACAGTGTTGAGTGGTGGGGTTGTCACAGTGTTGAGTGGTGGGGTTGTCACAGTGATGAGTGGTGGGGTTGTCACAGTGTTGAGTGGTGGGGTTGTCACAGTGTTGAGTGGTGGGGTTGTCACAGTGATGAGTAGTGGGGTTGACACAGTGTTGAGTGGTGGGGTTGTCACAGTGTTGAGTGGTGGGGTTGTCACAGTGTTGAGTGATGGGGTTGTCACACAGTGATGAGTGGTGGGGTTGTCACAGTGTTGAGTGGTGGGGTTGTCACACAGTGATGAGTGGTGGGGTTGTCACACAGTGATGAGTGGTGGAGTTGTCACACAGTGATGAGTGGTGGAGTTGTCACACAGTGATGAGTGGTGGGGTTGTCACAGTGATGAGTGGTGGGGTTGTCACACAGTGTTGAGTGGTGGTGTTGTCACAGTGATGAGTGGTGGGGTTGTCACAGTGATGAGTGGTGGGGTTGTCACAGTGTTGAGTGGTGGGGTTGTCACAGTGATGAGTGGTGGGGTTGTCACAGTGATGAGTGGTGGGGTTGTCACAGTGTTGAGTGGTGGGGTTGTCACAGTGTTGAGTGGTGGGGTTGTCACAGTGTTGAGTGGTGGGGTTGTCACAGTGTTGAGTGGTGGGGTTGTCACAGTGTTGAGTGGTGGGGTTGTCACAGTGTTGAGTGGTGGGGTTGTCACAGTGTTGAGTGGTGGGGTTGTCACAGTGTTGAGTGGTGGGGTTGTCACAGTGTTGAGTGGTGGGGTTGTCACAGTGTTGAGTGGTGGGGTTGTCACAGTGATGAGTGGTGGGGTTGTCACAGTGATGAGTGGTGGGGTTGTCACAGTGTTGAGTGGTGGGGTTGTCACAGTGTTGAGTGGTGGGGTTGTCACACAGTGATGAGTGGTGGGGTTGACACAGTGTTGAGTGGTGGGGTTGTCACAGTGTTGAGTGGTGGGGTTGTCACAGTGATGAGTGGTGGGGTTGTCACAGTGTTGAGTGGTGGGGTTGTCACAGTGTTGAGTGGTGGGGTTGTCACAGTGATGAGTAGTGGGGTTGACACAGTGTTGAGTGGTGGGGTTGTCACAGTGTTGAGTGGTGGGGTTGTCACAGTGATGAGTGGTGGGGTTGTCACAGTGATGAGTGGTGGGGTTGTCACAGTGTTGAGTGGTGGGGTTGTCACAGTGTTGAGTGGTGGGGTTGTCACAGTGTTGAGTGGTGGGGTTGTCACAGTGTTGAGTGGTGGGGTTGTCACAGTGTTGAGTGGTGGGGTTGTCACAGTGTTGAGTGGTGGGGTTGTCACAGTGTTGCGTGGTGGGGTTGTCACAGTGATGAGTGGTGGGGTTGTCACAGTGTTGAGTGGTGGGGTTGTCACAGTGTTGAGTGGTGGGGTTGTCACAGTGATGAGTGGTGGGGTTGTCACAGTGATGAGTGGTGGGGTTGTCACAGTGTTGAGTGGTGGGGTTGTCACACAGTGATGAGTGGTGGGGTTGTCACAGTGTTGAGTGGTAGGGTTGTCACAGTGTTGAGTGGTGGGGTTGTCACAGTGATGAGTGGTGGGGTTGTCACAGTGTTGAGTGGTGGGGTTGTCACACAGTGATGAGTGGTGGGGTTGTCACACAGTGATGAGTGGTGGGGTTGTCACAGTGATGAGTGGTGGGGTTGTCACAGTGATGAGTGGTGGGGTTGTCACAGTGTTGAGTGGTGGGGTTGTCACAGTGATGAGTGGTAGGGTTGTCACAGTGTTGAGTGGTGGGGTTGTCACACAGTGATGAGTGGTGGGGTTGTCACAGTGTAGAGTGGTGGGGTTGACACAGTGTTGAGTGGTGGGGTTGTCACAGTGTTGAGTGGTGGGGTTGTCACAGTGTTGAGTGGTGGGGTTGTCACACAGTGATGAGTGGTGGGGTTGTCACATCGTGATGAGTGGTGGGGTTGTCACATCGTGATGAGTGGTGGGGTTGTCACACAGTGATGAGTGGTGGGGTTGTCACACAGTGATGAGTGGTGGGGTTGTCACACAGTGATGAGTGGTGGGGTTGTCACAGTGTTGAGTGGTGGGGTTGTCACACAGTGATGAGTGGTGGGGTTGACACAGTGTTGAGTGGTGGGGTTGTCACAGTGTTGAGTGGTGGGGTTGTCACAGTGTTGAGTGGTGGGGTTGTCACAGTGATGAGTGGTGGGGTTGTCACAGTGTTGAGTGGTGGGGTTGTCACAGTGATGAGTGGTGGGGTTATCACAGTGTTGAGTGGTGGGGTTGTCACAGTTTTGAGTGGTGGGGTTGACACAGTGTTGAGTGGTGGGGTTGTCACACAGTGATGAGTGGTGGGGTTGTCACAGTGTTGAGTGGTGGGGTTGTCACAGTGTTGAGTGGTGGGGTTGTCACAGTGTTGAGTGGTGGGGTTGTCACACAGTGATGAGTGGTGGGGTTGTCACAGTGTTGAGTGGTGGGGTTGTCACAGTGTTGAGTGGTGGGGTTGTCACAGTTTTGAGTGGTGGGGTTGACACAGTGTTGAGTGGTGGGGTTGTCACACAGTGATGAGTGGTGGGGTTGTCACAGTGTTGAGTGGTGGGGTTGTCACAGTGTTGAGTGGTGGGGTTGTCACAGTGTTGAGTGGTGGGGTTGTCACACAGTGATGAGTGGTGGGGTTGTCACACA